AGCTGCAGGCAGGACGGGACCCTCGGGAGCAGAGACTGTCCCAGAGGAGTGATGGTCGTTCACTCGGCGGGGGATGTGCGTAAAAGCCCCAATTACACCCTACCGAACCACTTTGGGGAAAAAAAGCAGAAGGGAGATTGCTAGTCCTGTGACTATTTTGTGGGGAAACACTATGTGGACTGGCCCTGTCAGGTAACACATAAAAAAAGGAGAAACTCCTGTGGTGGTTTATCTGTTTTTTTGTTGTTTCTTTCTTGCAATCCTTCTCTTGCAGCTGGGTCTTTGTATGGGAGAAGGGCTACCAGGAAACGGACTCTGTGGTCAGTTCTGTAACCACAAAGGTGAAAGGAGTAACGCTGACAAACACATCCGCCTTGGGAGCCAGGATCTGGGATGTAGCTGACTATGTCATCCCTCCTCAGGTATCAGTCACTTCCACACACAGAGAGAAGGTTTTCTAACAAACAGCTCTTGCTCTGCCAAAGTCCTCTGAGGTCTGGAGCAGCCTCAGCTCTAGCGTGAAGCAGCTTTGCTTTGTTGCTGATCATGCTGAGCACCTGCACCGCTAGCCCCAGGGAAGCTTGTTTCAAGAAGAGTTTGTCTGTGTGCTTGTATAGGAGGGAGAATTTTGCAGGCTTAAGGAAAAATTGCAACAATAACCACATGTCCTCTTTCTTACTACTTTCTAAAGCAAACAAGTCAAAGTTAACTTGTTGGCAGAAGCCCCGGGAATAGCCTGCAAGTCACTTGATCCGGAACTGAACAGGAGGTATTGCTGTAGTTACTGATTGACTGTCTGTGGGAGTATCTGCACTGTGTGGACAATATGTGGCGGCCTTCAGGGCTGTCAGGTACAGCCAAGCTGCTTAGTCGTGGGTCACTCTGCCTGCACGAGATGTGGTGCAGAAAAAAGTGACAGATTTAGCCAGATTTTGGCTGAGTGGTCATATTTCCATATCAGCGGAGCAGAAGCAAACAACAGATCCCAAATCAAACAGATCTGAAAATAATGGGAGTGGTGCTCTCTGGAGAAACAAACCAGGACTGGTCAAGTTTCTAATAGATATATTGAAAAAAAAACAAAAAAAAAGGAAAGAAAGAGTGGGAGTTGTGCTCAGACTGGCAGCTGGAGCTTTTTTCTGCTCCTGTCTTGTGACTTCCCTGAGGAGCTGTGATATCTCTGTTTTCATAATGTGAATGAGGAAATTTGGGCCAAGAGGGAGGACAGAAAGGGTTGCTAGTCCCACAGTCCTTTCTCTACCTAAAGGCAGCGGCATCAGGCGATACATGTGGGAATCTGCTCCTTTAGTGCTACACCAGTACTGTCCAACGCAAGTCCACTCTGTAGGACCATGTAGGCTCTGTCAACAAAGACGTTTTGGGCAGTGCCTTGGACATTCTTTGCAAACAGTCACCCTTAAATTTCCTTCTTGTTTTGCATGTTCAGGAGGAGAACACTGTGTTTGTCATGACCAACGCGATACTCACACTGAGCCAGCGCCAAGGCCGCTGCCCAGAGGTAGGTACAGGATCTGCTTTAATTCTGCCTTGTGTGGGTGGGAGTGTGGGGAGGAGAGGTCATAGAGTTTAGTGTAATTATTGTTGCTCTCCAGCTTCCAGATGATAAAACAAAATGCAAGGTGAACAACAGCTGTGTTCCAGGATATGTCAGCACCCACAGCAATGGTAAGAAGCCTGCTGCAAGGGCTCCTTTCAGTCTGTGTTGTGATACCTCTGTGCTGTGCCTTCCCTCCTGTGAAGGAAGCAGCATTTCATTTCAGTCTCCTTGTTCTCATTCTCTCACACCTAAGAGAACTGAAAGGGAAGCTCAGATTTTTCTTCTGTGGGAGAGCAGATGGGCTTAGTCTGTGTTGGGTGGATGCTGGATAGATGAGTGCTTTGGTGAATTAGCAAAGAGTGTGAGGGCTTTTTCAAGACCTTGAGTCCATGGAAGCAGTATTTCACATAGAGGAGGATTTGATTTAGAAAAAGGACCTGATGCTTCTTTCTCTGAAATTGCACTACAAATTGCAATGGAAGATAATGGCGGTCTTGGTACTGGCACTTCACGGCTGAGCAGATTGCTTTCACCTTGTGGAGTGAGAAGGTATCACAGAGCAAATAGTGCCTCTGTATTTTTGCTTGGTAATACCTCCATTCACATATCTTTCCAGGCATCCAGACTGGGGAGTGTGTACCATACAACAGCAGCGTTAAGACCTGTGAAGTCTTGGCATGGTGCCCTGTGGAGGATGACTATCATATACCCAAGTGAGTGCTCTGTCTTCCTACTCTGTGGTGGCCCTCCTGAGAGGAGGCTAGCAGTACGCAGCTGATGTTTCCTCCTATGAGGCACTATTGCGAAAAGCTGAAGAGATGATCACTAAGGGCCCTGCAGAGTCCTGTTTGTGGAAATAGAAGTTAAACTTGTTTACTTTTCCTATTGTTTTGTAGGCCAGCGTTCCTGCAAGAAGCTGAGAACTTCACCATTCTGGTGAAAAACAACATTTGGTACCCCAAGTTCAACTTCAGCAAGTAAATAATGTGTGGGGCATTGCACTGTTTGGTCTCTTGGACAGTAAAGGGGAGCTGGAGGAGTGGAACAAGATGCAACAGATCTTCTCTCTCTGTTCCCCTGTAGGCGAAACATCCTCCCCACTATCAACTCCACCTACCTCAAGAACTGCATCTATGACTCTCAGACAGATCCCTTCTGCCCTATCTTTCGTTTAGGGAAAATAGTTGAAGCTGCAGGGCAGAACTTCCAGGAGATGGCTGTGGAGGTATTTGGCAGACCCTTCCCTTGGGCCTCAGCTGTGTGGAAGGGGAGCGGTAGGTGGTTGGCCCCTCTGCCTTGTGGCATGAGCCACAGGACACAGAGTAGCAGCAGAATCGAGAGCTGCTCTGGCCAGCGGGACTGGAGTCAATTCTGCTTAACAAATACTTGGCCTTGGCTTGTTCAGGTGGGGTTATGTCCAAGGCCCTTCTGTAGAAGGGTAAAGAGTGTTGGACTGGGACTGGGACAAGGGCTAGTAAATCAGGGTCCTGGTCAGCAGAGAGCCTAGTGCAGGGCTGGCCGGGCACTTGGACTGCTCACCTTCTCCTCTCCTCCACTTGGCAGGGTGGAGTCATGGCGCTGCAGATCAACTGGGACTGCAACCTTGATAGAGCTGCTTCCCACTGTGTGCCAAAGTACTCCTTCCGCCGCCTTGACAACAAGGACTCAGCCCACACCGTCTCACCTGGCTACAACTTCAGGTAATGTGCTGTGGAGGGCATCTGGTGTCCCTGCGGCTCAGTCTGCCACTGGCACAGTGTTATGGGCTGCCCGCACTCCTCTGGCAGTTGCGGGTAGTCCTTGGGCTTCTGATGGTGCTGTAAAACTTGGAGAGTTTCTCTGATGCTGTAAAACATAGAGCAGGTCGGATCCCCGCTGTGTGCAAACAGCAGCAGAGGGCGTGGTCAGTGAAGCTCCACTGATGGTGTCAGAGTGTCTGAGTCATACTTGCATCAGCATTTGGGTGACCGTTTTGGCCAGCCTCCTATGGCGTGGCAATGTGAGAACTGACTGTTTCAGGGGGTGCTGACAGGGCAGTATTTGAGGGGGCCTGGGTGTGGGGCTAGAAGACCGAAGCACTTCCTTCGCTGTGCATGAGGGAAAAACTAACCTCTGGAAATCGGTTCTGTCAGTCGAAGACCTTATCTGCACCAGGAGTGTCCTGGCATACACCACCACATAGACATTCTGGCCTGTACGGATAGGTCCGGTACCTCCAGGAAAAGCGCCAGCACAGAGCCGATAGCTGGTTGCATCCAGACTGAGGGCTATAATAATATGGATTGGACACCTTGCCAAGATCCTCGCAACAGTCCTCCATGTGAGGAAACACTGCTCGGGGCTATGCTTGTTTCTAGAATCACAAACTCTCACTTAGCACAGGGGATCTCTTTTGGTGGAACCTGAATGAATTCACTGAGAAGCTGCTGTCATGCAGACAGCACAAGCTTGTGTCTGGGAGGTGCCAGGCCTGCAGGTACTGGGGTGTCAGGCGAGACCGGCTGGAGGGTATGGCAGTTGTGGCTGGTGTGGGTTCTGAAATACTCTTGCTAATTCCAGACTGTGGTGCAGCCCCTTACCAATCCTTCCTCTTCTCTTCCACTCTCTTCTCTGCTTCCTCCTGGCTTAGTCAACCATGTGGCAGAGTAAGTCTGACCTCATTTCTTCTCATCCCTTTTTCCCTGTCATTTGCCTGCGAGTCACATTGTGCGGGACAAGGAACAGCCTTTGCATGCCAGGCTGAGCTGTGCTGCCTGCTTCCTGCCCTGCCCTCTCCTGGCTGCCTGCACTCCTGCAGCCTCCTGCTTGCCCCTGCCTGAAGGGGCCGATTCTCTTGTGTAGCTGAATTTCTTCCTCTCTGTCCTCCTGCTCCCCCACTAAAGCTAAGTTTCTCCCCTTCCTATGCTTTGCAAGGTTCCTGATTTGGCTTGTGCTGACTGCTGTGTTAAATTCGCCTGCTCTGGGCTTTTCTCCTATGTGTGCTTGCCTGCATGAAAATCTCCCTCCATCATTTGGGGCTTATCTCTGGAAGTACCAGTGTTTCAGCCCATCCTCTTGGGATGGGGGGCACACCTGGATGTTGCATGATCACGTAAGCAGCATCAAAATTTCCAGTTAAGCTCTGACCTATCTTCTCTCCAGGTTTGCGAAATACTACAAGGATAGTAATGACACTGAAACACGGACGCTTGTCAAAGCTTATGGCATTCGCTTTGATATCATAGTGTTTGGAAAGGTAGGGTGACTTAATTCTTGGAGTTCTTGTGGTGAGGGCTTTCAGAGATGCTGAAAAACACATTCATCCTTGTAACCGTCTCCTAGGCAGGAAAATTTGATGTAATTCCTACCATGATTAACATCGGCTCTGGCTTAGCGCTGTTTGGTGTGGTAAGTGACACTGTCTGCACTCAATTCTGTATTAGCGCCTCAGTTCTGAGGATCATTGTCTTAAACTCTTTCAATCTCCACTAGGCAACAGTGCTGTGTGACATTGTTGTTCTGTATTGCATGAAGAAAAAATACTACTATCGGGAGAAGAAATACAAATATGTCGAAGATTATGAACTGGTAAGCATCAGTGATGGTAGAGTGAAGGCAAAGTTGCTTCCTCCTCTGACGCGGGAGATATTCTGAAACAGGATGTAGAAAGTCTGCATCAAACAGGGATTTTGAAGTACAGCTCTGAGGAAACTTTGTCTTCATCAGAGAAGGTAATTCTTACCTCAAAGCCTTTGCAGGGAGGAGCACTAGAAACAAATATTGTCATATTTCCTGGGCAGCCACTCTTAGGGAAGGAAACATATGTTCAAGAACTTGTCATGCTCCCACTGCACCTCTTTTTGGGGTTGCAGTCCTTGGCAGTTGCCTTTTGAGAGCTGCAGCTCTGTCCCCATAAAATCCTTCCTTCTTGGCTTTTGAGTGAACAGACCTGTGCAATGGGTTGGTATTTTCCAAGACCAGCATGCTGACAGCCACAGCTACGGCTCCCTCCAGGATCCAAATGATCCTTTTGGCCAGTAGAAGGATTTACTGGGGTAGTGGGGTTGCTTGGCTGGTGCTGAGGGTAGAGCTCGGCTCTGCAGCCCTGCGCTTGGTGGGAAAGTGTTGCTGCAGCGGGTGGATTTCTGATCAAAAGACCTTGTGGCGCTGGAAAAGTCTAAGTAGTGGAGAGTAACTTGACTGTACGAAGGGTTGTATGTGAGAGGAAGAGGGAGAAAGAAGAGTTTTTCTGGCAGAGAACTGTAATCTCTGATCCTTGCAGGGTGTCAGTGAGACATACGGAACAAACTCCTGACCTCCTGCTGCTACAGCACCAACCGCTGCTGTAAACTGCTGCTGTGAACGTTTCTCTGACCCTGCAGTGAGACCCACACCCTCTTTGTTGGAAGGAAAGGGGGAACAAACCTGAGAAAGGGACCTTCTTCACTATGCTTCGCTACTTTTGCTGGCTGGAGCCAACGCCCAGAGAGAAGAACTGGGTCTGCTCCTTGTCTGCTGTCTTTCCAGGTGAATTGCACTAAGCACATAGGGAGAATTGTGCTTTTATGCCCGGCCTCTGCACTGGGTAAGCCTGGGACAGGGACTGCCCTGACACTGCCTTTTCGACAGTCCTCCTTTCCCTCAGCTTGCCGGTAGCAGAGAGCACAGGGTTGCAGGCACAGATTCCTCCTTAGAGTGAACACGGCCCCTGCCGGGTCTTGCCTAACCTTGGGGGAGCAGCTCCTTGCTGTTGTCAAATCACTTTTCCTCGCCTTAACGGATCGTGATGCTTAGCTGAGCCTGTGCCTACTATTTAATCGTGTCTCCAAGCTCCAGTGGCCAACAGACTGAGACAAATTGGTGTCTAGTTCCATTGTTCTACGGTAAATGGCTTACTGCTTATGGAGTTTTTTTCTGTTTTGTCTAATTTTTATGGTACTACTTTAAAATTTACTTTCTTTTTAATAAAATATAACGCTCTCTTAGCCCTCTGGGAGTCCTGCAACCTGGGTTTTGCATGTTTATTTTTGCCCAGGGCCCGTGAAGGTAGGGTCAGTGAACTGTCTTCATTTTACACAGATACCAACTGTTACTAGAGAGCTATCAAAGCTTTTGCCGCTCAATTGGCTCAGCAAGAGTGCTGCTGCAACTACACAGCTTCTGCTCCACCTGGGTTCTCCTAACACCTTGTCTGTGGCTGTTGCACTAAAACTCTAAGGGAAAAGACTTGAAAGCTAGAGGCCAGGGTGGGTTAGCCCAGCATGGCCTTAGTCAAATGCTAGTACCAACTGCTCAGAACAGAGCTGTTAGTCCCTGGGATACCTCCCATGCTTTTTGCTACCACACCCAGACCCTGCATCTGGGCTGCTGCATTTAATGGGCTTACACCGTTTGACTTAAGTGAATTTGTTGGCTTTTATCTTCCCCTGGCCTTGAGCATCTCTGGCAATCAGACTGGCATGCAAGGTACAGCTCTTCTCTTTCTCTCTTCACCTTTTCTAGTGTTACAGAGACCTGGGACCTATTCCAAACCTCCAGCATCCTGGCTGGGGCTTTGCTGCCTTTTCTCAGCAGCGCAGTGGGTTTGCTACAGCATTATCATTTTGTTTAATTCTTTATTTGCCTGCTGTGGCTGAGCGCTAAGCTGCATCGCAACTCAAGCGGTGCCTTTCCAAGAGTCAGCGCTCTAGTCCACACCTGTGAATGGCTCAGTTCGGATTATGCAGTGGCTGGAGCCACTGTGGTCCTGTCCTAGCCCAAGATGCCCAGGAATGGTAGAGCACCAGACTTCACTAACACAGGAAAGTGCTTTCAGACTCCTCTTCCAACAGTCAAACTCTCATAGCTTGGTAAAGAACAGTCAAACAGGATAATGGTTCCACTTGATCAACTAACTCTGAGTTTTGTTGCATGTCATTTATTTCAACTTGTACAGAGAAGCTGCGTGGAAAAACATTTAGTTGGTTGTTGTTTTTTTTTTTTTTTCTTAGGTAATAATTTAAACGTGGTAAATACACAGTATTTAAACCTGATACACCTGATAAAGTTAAATGCATAATAAAGGGGTAGGAATGAAACACAAGCCTCAGTCATTAAACAAACAGTATAAAAAAATCAGCGATAGTTCAGGACCTTAGAAAAGACACAGATCAATTGCCTGATAGGTAAGGGGGGACCACTGAGAAAAACTGCTGAAGACAAGAGGCCTCGTTTCCCCTTAGCACTTTCTTATGTGCTTTCAGAGCCAAAAAGGCTTAGCATCCAGCATTAAGCCTACAGTCAGCACTGGGCTTGCCTGAAAGGAAGGGAGTTGGGGAAATCAAGCTATAGCCCAGTTCCAAGGCACAAGCAAAATGTGTGCTTCACTAGAAGAAAAAAAGATAGCTTTACTACCAAGGAACAGCAGCCGGGGAACTGGGCAGATTCATATATACAGCTTCTCTAACAGGTCATGCATTTAGATAGATCTTCCTCACACAGCCACGCTTTATGCTTTCAACAGAACTAAGCAATGAGAAAAATCCACATCGAGTTTCTTTCAGAAACATGCATTTGGCTGCAGCCCTACCGCAGCTGGCACTGAGAGACAATCATTTCGGAGAGCACCATAGCGAAGTGCCGAGCTTTAGGACGCTTACGAACCAAGCCTGTGCTAGCCGTAAGACGCTGATCTACGGCAGTACCTGAGGCCCAGCAGCTATGTGGCTGGGCATCGAGGAACCGGTACAGCTTACTCCACTCAGAAGCTGTGTTGCACCTGGCAAACCCCTTTGGTAAGCGTAAACCGTCCCGCTAGGCACCTGACAAATCACAAACCGGCGATACGCAGCACAGAGCATCTCTACAGCTCACCGTTAACAAAACACACCACACACACGACTATGCACCAGCTATAAATAATCAGATCCCCCCCCCCCTTTTTTTTTTTGGCAGAGCAAGTCCATTTTCAAAGTTGGAGAACCAAGCTGCACGCGCTTCCGCAATGAAAAGTCGTGTTTGGGAAAGGGGGAGCACCCAGGTTACCGGTTTGGTTTTCCCATAGCTGAAGCTGCAGGCCTTTGGCATAGCCTCAGGCTAAAACGGGAGGAGAACAGTGCGTGTCTTATGGCTCCAAACTCCGCAGCAATGCTCCTAAACCACGAACCGTCGTCGCTGGCTTTGGAGAGGGGCCGGCAGCACAACGTTTCGGTAATAAATTGCGATTTAGGGGGAGCATTGCTTCAAGTGATCGAAAGATGCGAGGGGCAGTTGGCGTAGGCACCTGCGCGCTTGCTAATGCTACTCTGGCTTTAACAAAGACCCGTCCTAACCCGGCCAGGTCTGACTGCGGCAGGGCCAAGGACCTCGGTGCTCTGCTGCTGGCAGTGCCCAAGATCAAGGAAGACAAGGGGACAGTCACTTCCTAAAGGCAGGGCACCCGTGGCAGAGATCTTACCATGAACCAAAATACTTGGGTCTCTCCTAGTGCCTTCTTCCTCAGGGCAAAGAATTATGCCTTAGCCGTCCCTTCCGTGCTTGGGACATTCGAGTCCTCCCCCTCTTTCAGGTACGCCATCACTCAAGGTCACACACATTCAAGTGCCTCATTCAAGGTCACACGACCACATCAGACTGAGGAGAGGGCAGACCTTTCCCCTCCCAGTCCCACGCTCCATCCACAAAACAACTGTACTTACCGTGACCCCTTTCCTCAAGAAAACCCCGGCGCTCCTCCAGCTCACCCACACTCTGTTCTCCAGCTTTGTCCAGGCACAGAGAACTTTGGAAAGTGAGTCTGGACACCGGAGTCTCTCCCACCACACGATAGATTTTTTTTGTTTTTACAAGCACCACAGAATAATCAGAGTAATCTGACTGAAGGTGAAAAAGCTCTTCATAAGAAACAATCCATTAATTAGGTATACACTTAATTTACTAACAAGCCTCTGATCCACAGGCATTCACAAATTACTGGTAACGAACTTGCAAAAAAATACATAGCATTGGCCCCAAAACCCCGATTAAGAGTTTGGAAAACAAAAGTTTCTCTGAAAATTACTAGCTAATCCAAGTACTTCATCAAGATCTTAAATTCTAAGCAAGCCCTAAGTCTATACTTAAAAAATAGCATAAGTTGTATTATTTTTAATTGTAGTAAACCATGTAATGTACATGGAAGTGAAGGATTTTACCCTGAATTTTATATTTAATAATATATCTACCTAGATCAAGTAAAAGATTTAGAAACAAACTGTTTTTAGTGCTTTCTCTGCTGTTCAAAACAAACATTCAGCTAAACACCACCTTTCACTCGTATGTCTGCAGCAAAAATAGTTCAGACTGAACTTAAGCCCTTAAATACCTTTTCCTTTCTTAGACCGAATACTCAACTTACCAAGTCCTAGTCACACCAAGGCCTTAGGAAAGGCATTAATTACCTCAGGAGGTAATTAACCTCACTTTCCAAACGACCCGAGGATGCTGTTTAATACAACTCGGCTCACAAAGGTAGGCATTCTTTAAAAAAGCTGAAAAGGTGAGTTTTTGCTTTGTTTCCATGCAGTTAAAAAGGTGTCAATTAAAAACAAACCAGAATGATGAGAAATAGATGCAACAAACATTTCCGGCAGGTGGTGAAGTCTCAAAGTGCGCACGTGTAGTTTTGCTGTTGTGTGTGCTTCACCCTTCTGCGTGTGCCCACCAACTATGCGATGGGCATCCAACACTCCTGGGACGCTGGCGTTAGTCCCCGGAAACTATTTGGCATTAAAACCAGGTAAAAGCGGTTCCAAATGCATTTTTGTTTGACCGCTTTTTTTTTTTTTTGCAAAGCAGTGTTGCTGCCCAACAGGATAGCTCACCTCTCCATCAGCCAGCACCTTTCCAAGAAGCCAGCAGTCCAAGGGGCCGGAGATGTTCGATGTTTATGACAAGTAGTCGGATGTCTTATAACATGCTGCTACGTAAGCTCTACATCCAGCACTATACCGAAATAGCGCCATGTCATGCTGTGTTCGGCGTAGGCTCTGTTGATGTCGCTCGTCCTCAGCTGCACACTTTACTAACGTGCCCCGGACCAAGTTGCTCAACAGAACCGTGAAGTCGATGTTCATGAAAGAAGTTCCTCCTCTCCCACGTTGGGCAAGTCGTTGCATTTCAGATTATCCTCGCTGCCTTGCTTCCTGCTTTAAGAGGAAATAAAAACAGTCACTGAGCGACTCAGAAAAAGGCAAAGCAGACGACGAGACACCAGCATCTGCCCCTTCCCCACCACGGGACCTCTGGGACCCTGAGCACGTGCCATGTCCCCCCAGCTCCCCTGCAACAGGCTTGGGAACACCATAAAAA